GCCTACCTTGGTGCCCATAGCACGTACAGGCCGCATATAGATCTTCCTGTTGTATGTTCTATACACGCTAGATCTATGTCTGTACGTGAAGAGCCTCGGCTCTCTATGGCACCACCAAGGTAGTTCTTGGTCGCGCGAGCAACTATTAGCTGGTAAGCAAAAAAAAGTTAATTTTCATTCGAATTCATTTCTGCTTGTTTCGTTTTAGTTCCATTCAACTTTTCAATTCAATTCAATTTCAATTCAAATGTAAGTATAATTATTGTTACATTCCTGTTGTTTTATTTTTTTGTAACTTTTTTTTTTGATTTTTAAAATAAACTTTATTCAAATAACTCAAATCTTTTTCTTTTCACTTCAACAATAAATATTTTTATGTTAACAATAAATTATTTCAAAATAACTCAAATTTTATTTTACATTTGAATAATACAAAATTTTATTTTCATTGAAATCATAAAACTTGTAAAAATAATACAAATTTTCATTTCATTCAAATAATTCAAATTTGTAAAAATAAGACAAATTTTCTTTTCATTCAAATAATACAAAATTATATTTTCACTTTAATTATAATTATTTTATGTTCATTTAAATCATAAAATTTTCATGCAAATAATACAAAATTTATTTTCATCTACATAATACAAATTTTCATTTAAATAACACAAATTTTATTTCATTTGAATAATAAATATTATACAAAAAGAACAAATTAATTTGCGTTTGAGGAATAAAATATTTTCAAAGTAATACAAATTTTATTTGATTTCACTAAGAAATAAATAAATGTTACTACTAAATTATTTAATTTTACTAACAAATTATTTTCATTTTACCAATAAATTATTTTCAAAATCATCCAAATTTTCTTTTCAGGAATAAAATATTTTCAGAGTAACAAATTGATTTTCATGTCAAGAATAAATATTTTGCGAAAGAAAACAAAATCTTTTATTTAATTCATTTTTTTTCATTTAACAAATAAATAAAAGAACAAGAAAAGAAACATGTGATGTAATCTTATATTTTAACTTTTTTCTTTTCGTTGAAGTGAAAGGGTAAAAGGAAAATTGCTTTTTTCTGTTCATTCATTTCAGGGTGTGGAAAAAGAAACGAACAAAGAGAAAACAATTTAGCAGTCTTTTTCGATAGAAAATTGTTCAACACGATGATTATTACAATCGACGACATAGAGATTACCATGTCGATCGAAAGACAAACCAATGGGGAAGTAGAACTGATTTGCTCCCGCTCCTGGACCATTACCACCCACAACTACAGTGCCTTGTGTCGCTCCTTTAGTCCAACTCATTACACGATGATTGTACCTGTCTCCTATATAGACTGTACCCAACGTGTCAACGAAGATTCCATCAGGATAAGACAATTGTGTCAAAGCACTCCTTACGCCGTGTCCTCCAGCGACCACAATACCTTCTTTTGCACCTTTATTCCATTTCATTACACGATGATTGTAGAATTCTGATACGTATAGATTCTGTTGTCGATCGACAAAGATATATGCCGGCCAGTTGAGTTGATTGAGTCTAGCACCAACGCCATTACCACCAGCTACGAGAGTGCCATGCTTATCACCTAATTTATATCGTCTTATTTCACTTAGTCCGTTGCCAGCGACGTAGAGATATCTCTGCTCATCCATAGCGAATCCATAACAACCGATCTTGTCGATGAGTATTTCACCTTGTGTTGTACCACTACGACGAGACCATCGTACAACTCGTCGATTCCCTGCATCACAAATAA